TAAAAAAAAAAACTGAGAGATCAAAAAAATTTTGAATGCGCGCATTGAGCTGATTCCTTTCTCTCTCTGTCTCAAAAATTTGGTCTGAAAAGTGGGGTCGATGTAGAATGTTCAGAAAGCATTGTTTCCCAACAAATTTGCCATATCCTTGAAAATCACATTTTGATGATGCTGTTTTGGAGTCTTAACTGACTGATCTTTTTAATACAGATTATTTTGGCAATCTATTTTTTATGGCGACTACTTGGGGTAGCAGTTATTGCTGGTCTTACTGTGCTTTTTGCAACAATCCCATTCACTTCTTGGATCTCAATTCGAATGAAACGTTGTCAGGTTGGTTTATTACTGTAAAAAAAAAATAATTGGCCAGCACGTCGACTGCCGGTGCGAAGGTGCGTTTTTTTTGCATAGTTCCCTGCAGGTTTTTGTGTTCAAACAGCCTTATTCTTACCGGCAGATGCTTCTAGATAAAAGAAATGAGATTGGCTGCTAGGGCTGTCTGGGAAATTCCCCTTAAAATTTCAGCTTTCTAACTTTCCCGATTCTCGAGTTAGCAATTTACCCACCAGAAATTTTCTCGGACTCTTAAGTAGGAACCACGCACAACTGGGGGCTGGGTTTGAACTCATTAAGATCTACGTGGATGGGGAACATTCCCTTAAAATTACAGCTTTCTAGCTTTTCAGGTCCCCGAGTTAGCAACTTACTCGCAAAAAATTTTCGTGAGCAGAACAGTACACCTGGGGCTGGATTTGATACACCTGGGCTGAATTTGAAATTCCAGCCTACGAGCTTTTCAGTTTTCCTAGTTAAAAACTTCTCCGCATAAAACTTTCACGGGCCCGTATATGAGAGCCACTCATACCTGGGAGCTGAATTTGAACTCATTAAGAACTACGCGGACAGGAAACATGCCCTTAAAATTACAACCTTCTAGGTTTTTTAACTCCCGAGTTTGCTCAAAATTCACTTTTGGTCATCACGTCTATGAGGAACGTAGAATCCTAGAAATTTAGAATGCATCGCCCTTTTTAATAGTACTACATGTGTGCTCCAAATCCAGAAAATGCCGCCATAGAGTAGAAAAGAATCACCTGAATGACTTCTAGTGAAAATATCAACTGAAAATAGGCAAACATGTGCTAGAAATTTTGGTCAGGATTTAAGAAAACTACAAAAAAGTGTTTTTAATTAGAGCTTATCCGTCAAAAACTTTGACGGGCCTCGTACGTGGGAACCATATGCTTAAGAGCACCCATTTTGGGAATGGGGCCCGTATGTGCATGTAGATCAAGTTCCGAAAGTTTCAGCCTTCTAGCTTTGGTAGGTCTCGAAATGAACAATCGGTACAGACGAACACAGAGGCACCCCTCGACAATATGTGTTTTTGCATTCCATAAATGCAAAAAACTTATAAAAAACAGGCTAAGTGTACTACTGTTGGGAACAAGCAGTTAGAACAGTTGCATGTCTTTTGAGGGCATCTCTAGGATGCCATTGTATTTTAAAGCAAAAGTCAACCCCCGTCCCCAAATTTATTCTATTTGAGGGATATTTTATGTAATGTTTCAATGCAAGAAATTTTGATCAGGATTTAAGAAAACTATAAAAAAGTGTTTTTAATTAGAATTTTTGAAATTTTGTCTGTTTTTCACATGTTTAACCGGCTTCAG